AAAAAAAAAAAAAAAAGTTGGCATTTGAGATCCAGAGTCACTGGGGTCAGGCCCTGGAACTGGTGTCTGAAGTCTTCTGATCTCAGTGTCTTGGGAACTTATGGGTTCATGTTCAAGATCTGAAGTTTCAGGGGTTTAGATCTGGGGGATGAGACATAGGGCCTCAGGGCTCAGGGCCTAGGGTCTGAGATCTTGGGGTCCAGGTTCTTAAAATCTGGGGTTTGTAGAGCCAGGGTGTCCACTGGGTCATGATCTTACATCTTAGGGTCTGGGGCTGAGGCCTTGAACTGCCAGGATGCTAGGGCCAGGGTTTGGGTGCTAAGAGTCTGGATGTTCATGGTTTTTGGTGTCTTGGGAACAAGGTCTCCAAGTCATGACATGAGTGTTTGAATTCTCAAGTTTTAGGGCTTCACAGTGGAGGTCTTGGGCCTCAGGGGGTGCAATTCTGAGGCCAGGAAAGCATGGACTACGGGTCATGTGGGGAGGGTTGGAATTTCTCGGCAGGATTTTGGGACCCAGGGACTCAGGGTCTCAGGGACACAGGATCTTGGACACAGGGTGAGGTCTCAGGGCACAGGTATTGCAGTTGGGCCTGGGGTCTTAAGATACAAAGTCTCAGGCTACAGAGTTCTTGGAGTCTCAAGGATCAAGGTATGAGATGTCAGATGTCAGAGCCAGGACATACCAGGAGCTGCAGCCGGCGCAGAAGCCGGTCCAGTCGGGCCTGCAGGGCACCCAGCTCGGGCTCCAGGGTCTTCAGGGAAGGACCACCTGCCCGGCGCAGCCACTGTACATGGCGCAGGTAGGATAGCAGGTCAGTTCGAAGTCGTGTCAGCACACCAGGGAGCTGGAGATGGAGCAGGAGCATTAGGGAACTGCAGGCTCAACTCATTCCAACGCCCCTACTTTCCCTGTCCTCTTCCTTTTGGTGCCTGCCTCCTCCACCCCCTTGCTCCACTCCACTCCCTTGCCCATACCTGCAGGGCTCCCAGTGCACCCGCACTCATGGCCAGGGTGGGTAGAGAATCAAGGTTGTGATCCCCTTCGGCTGGGAATTTGTCCCTCTGTGAGAAAAAGAGCTGTGAGGAGACCCCTCCAACAAGCCTTGGGGCGCCTCCATCCCTTACCTCCGCCACAAAGCCCTCCCTCTCCTAACTCTGCCACCCTTAGAGCCCAGAAGTTCCCCAGTTGGCCTGCCCCAAGACTGCTCTGTTACTCTCCATCCCTGTCATCCTGTCTTGGTTGCTGCCCAGTCTCTCCTACCAGTTGTGCAGTCAGCTGCCGAGTGTCTGCCAGGAGGGAGCGGGTAAGGAGGACAGTGCTGTCCAGCTCGGCCCGAGGGTCTGGAGAAGCTCGAGGAGGCCCAGGAGGGGGCCCAGGGGCAAGAGCTCTATCTGGCCACAGGCTCAGTACGACCAGAAACAGGCGGCAAACACCTGGGCGGAGGAGGCAGAGAGTTCAGGCTCGGGCTGGACCCTCGGGTCGGAGGGAGGAGGAGCTGGAGGGCTTAAGTCCCTGAGTGAAGCGCCCGAGGCAAGTTGCTAGCCGGGGCGGGCTTCCCTCTCCCTCCCCGGCTCTGGCTGCCCCGCCCGTCGGAGCAGACGCGGCCCCGGGCGGGTAGACGGGCCGGGCCGGGCGTCTCCCCGTCCGCCCCCGGACGCCGGAATCTGGGCCCAGGGGCGGGGCATGAGGGGGGAGGCACAGGCCAGAACCTGCCCCCTCCCCGGGCCCCGGGAGCCTGCGCTGGACTGGGAGCAGAGGAGGGAGCCAAAGACCAGGACTAAGACCGCACACGCGGAGCCCTCTCCGCACGGCATTGCCCCTGTTCAGGACCCCGCCAAAGCGCGCCGCGGAGACCGGGACAGACCGCGGCAAACCTGGGAATAGAGAGAAGCCGGTCTGGCCGGGAGGGAAGTGCGAGTGCGCGGGGCCGGTGCGGCGCTGGGGCTCCCGGGCTCTGCCTGGGCTCCCCTCAGCCCACCCCCAGCCCCGCCCACCCATCCGCCTGCCAGCCAATCAGCACCCCCGGGCCGCCCGCGCCTCAGCACACCCCCAGCCCGCCCCCTGGTCGTGTCCCGCCAAGCCCGTCCTCCCGCCCGTCCTGGCCGACCGCCGTCTGTCCGTCTGTCCGCCCTCATCTGGCTCTCTGAGCCTTCAGTCCATGGCTCGTCCCTCTTCCTTTTCGGACTCTGCCTCAGTTTCCCTCCAGCACTTCTCTGTCAGGGTCCTTGAGTGCCTGCGGCTCCGGGTCCCCGCAGACTCCCTGGGTGCCTCGGGCAGTTTGGGAAAAGCTCCCAGCATCTGTCCCACTGTCCCTGTCTATGAATCTCAATTTTTCTCTCCGTCGCCGGGCCCTGTCTGGCCAATCGGTCCCTCTCGCTGAGTCCCTGACTTGCTGCTTTCATCTGTCTCTGCGTCTCTCACTGCTCATCTCTTCTCAGCCTCCTGCTTTCTTGGAATCTCTTTTCCTCCCCATGGCTCTCTGTCTCTCCTGTGTCCCTCTCAGTCCGACTCAATGGTGTCTGCCCCCCCTCATCAGTCTCTCCCTCCCTCCCACCCTTCCTCCCTGTCCCCTCTACCCATGAATTTGAACCAACTTACAGTTCATGTCCCCACTGGGCCAGGGGTTCCCCAGGGCAGAGGGCAGGGAGCTGGGGGTCTTTAACCCTTCCCTGTCCGCTGCCAGGGGAAGCCCTGGGGGGGGGGTCAGCTGGGCCGCGACCTGGGGAGGGGTGGCATGTGCTGTGAGCAGCAGGGCCGCAGCAGTGAGGGAGTGTGTACGCCTGGGGGGTTATATAGGGGGCCGGGGCGGGCGGGCGGGGGGCAGGCGGCAGGGGAGGACGGCCTGACACATCCTGACTCACCCTCCCTGCCTGCCTTTTCCATTCAGAGGAGCCGGCTGCCTCTCAGGGCTCAGGCCCGCTCAGAGGAGGGCACGGAAGGAAAAGTTGAAAAGGGAAAGGGGGGGGTGGTCTGAGAGGGTCTGGTGAGGTCATTGGCGTCCCCTCCCTCCACCTCCACGGGCTAGAACAGACATATACAACTCAAGATCTGGGGCTAGACTGTGTGTGTGGGGGGGTCTGGCTGGACCAGGACAGGCAGAAAGATGCAGAAAAGAGAGAGGCTGGCCAGGACGAGACAGGGGCCTAGTGGAGATGGATGCACAAGGGAGAGAAACTCCAAAGGATAGTGGGGGGGGGGGGCAGAGACACGTGGAGATGGGGACGCCAAAACAGAAGCTGAGGCAGAGGCAACCAGGGAGATATTCCAGAGAAGTAGAGAGGAACAGAGACAGAAGGGAGAGGCTCTGGGAGCTAGAGATCAAAGGGTGACATGGAGACAGAAGGAGGGAACTTAATAGAGACACAAAGAGGAACTGGGCAGACACCAAGACTCAGAGGAGAGGAGGCAGGCAGCAGAAGGGCAGTGACCAGGATGGAGAGGCCTCAGGAGACAGAGATGCAGAGAAGAAGGCAGGGAGAGAGATGGAGATGCTGAGGTACTGGGGACTCAGCAGTGGGGGCAGAGAGACGGGGAGCCTCTCTGAGACAGGGGGAGACATGATGGTGGGAGAGAACAGAGACAAGACCAAGAGATGTGTGACTTTCCCTCTATGCCTCAGTTTCCTCATCTGTGAAGTGGGAACAGTGAGTTCCCCCACACCCCAAACCCCATGATGAGGATAAAGTGAGCTCATTCACATAAAGCACAAAGTCAGCACTCCATCAGTGGTAACCATCATTATTCTCCTCATTAATTTTTATTAACACATCTAGGGACAGAGAGAAAAAGATGTAGCCTTTGGCAGAGAAGGGGAGGTTGGGGGAGAGGCTGAGGTGGTGAGCTGAAGAGATAAGTGGGGATGGGGGACACAGCTGCTGGTGGGGGTAATGTCCAGTAGGAGAGGCACCCAATAGGTGAGAGAGGCACACGGTCTTAGGGGTCTTAGGGGAGACGGTGATGCTCACCCCAGAGCACAGCAGGTGAGTGTCAGGTAGATGGTGGCAGCAGAACCTGGGACTCACAGGCAAGGAACAAGGACACCAACCCAAGTCCCCAAGTGCCTGCCCCCCAGGATCTGGGGGGGAGATAGGAGAGAAAGATGGGATTAAATGGAGAGCACAAAGAAGTAGGAAGACTTCCCCAGGTCTCCCTGCAGACTCTGTGCCCCGCCTAGGAAATTGTGCTGGGCTGGCAGGGGAGTCTGGGGGCGAATGGCAGCTGAAGGCTTCCCCATCCCCATCTACCACCCTTGAAGGGGGTGTCTGCTCAGGTCCCTGAGGAGGTGAAGTCACAGCCCCCCCATGGTGGGACATGACCTCATCGCTTCAGGTAAGAGCCCTTTCTCTGCCTCTTAAGTGTCATAGCCACCCCTTCCAAGGGCCCCCCAGCCCAGGCTCCTGCTGGGACCCAGGTCTCTGACCACTGGGTCTCCGCCCCTCAGGGGGCCTGTTTCCGGCTGAGGGCTGAGTCAGTGTGGGGGGCCCAAGTCTGCGTCAGTGAGGGGGAGAGCTGACGTAGCCCGTAGCCCCCCCCCCAGACCCGTGGGGCCAGCCAAGGTGACTCAGGCCACCAGCTTAGGGGATGGACTAGCCTGAGGGGATGGGGGATTGGCCAGGGGCCAGCCCAGGAGCAATAACAGGGATCTGATAATGCCAGGCCCTTCCACTTCCAAGGACCTTCCAGCCCCTCCTTCCTCAGACCAGGGAGTCCAGCCCCTAAATTCTAGTTGGAGAAAGGTGGAGGGAAAACTTGTGACCTTTCTGCACTCTGGGAAGTGCTCTGTGTGAGGGAGGTCAAGAGTTAGGGACAATTCAGGGGTCCCAATTTCTTGTTCTGTTTGAGTTATGGGGTCAGACTTCATCTCCCACCCTTCCACCCCCCAGAGTGGCTGCAGGAGGCAGAGATAGATGGGGTAGGAGAGCAGGGAATTGCTCCAGACTCCTGAGTTTTCCCCAGGCCAGTGGGGGAACACCTGGCTGCTTCTGCGGAATTAAGGGGGAGGGAGAGAGAGAGAGGACTGGAAAAGAGACCCAGAGCCCAGGGTTGGGAAATCCCAAGGAATGAGAGAAAACACAGAGATAAACAGAAATGGACAGTAGCACAAGAAGGCAGTGATGCCAAAAAATGATGGAAGCTGGAGACCATCTCAGAGATGGGAGCAGCCAGGGTGCCAGAAGCCTGAGGGTGGCCACAGACACTGGGGGAAATGCTGCTGGAATGTAGGGGGCAGAGTCCTTGTGCATGTGATGGCCCCTGGGGGAAGCAGGGCTGACAGGGTGTGAGGTCAGTAGGTACCAGGCTGTGTGTGTCCTTCTGTCTGTCTGTCCCTGGGGGGTCCTGTCTAGCCTCTGGGGGGTGACGGGGGCAAGCCAGCCACAGAGGCGGCCCAAACCTGTCATTAGCGGTGAAGGCCATGACGGCGGGCCCCCCAGTCCCAAGCCGCTGTCCAGGGCCGGCCGGCTCCGCCCCCCCACCCCCTCCTTGATCCCTGAGGAATCCCGGGAATTGGGAAGTGGGACCAGATGATGTTGACACAGGAAATGGTCAGCAGCTGCCCAGCCTCAGCCCCACAACCCCTCTGACCCCCCACCCCCGGCCCCCTGCCGAGCCCCCTCTGACCTGTGTCATCTCTGACGAAGGCAGCCCAGGGCCCACTCAGCATACACCAGGATGTTTACAGGAGAGATTGGTAAGACAGGGAGTCAGCCTGGGCTTCCTGGGATCAGGGTCTGGCTCCCTTACTGTCCCCACACCAGACCGGGAATCAAGGCCCCAGCCCTTCTTCCCTCACACCCAGGACTTGACTTTCCAATTCCTAGGCTCCTCCTAATGCAGGTGTCAGGGTCCTCCAACCCCCTTGTCCCTCAGACTCCGTAGTTGTAGCTCAAATGGAGACTATCCCAGGAGAGAGGATATTCCCTCCTCACTAAGCTATAAAGCTGAATGGCTGCTGAGGGGGGTGAACCAGAAATCATGGTCCTAACCTAGTCCTCCAGTCTGGCTTCCTCCTCTTGGAAGACAAGTCTGTCCTCAGTCATTGGGGGGAGTGCAAAAGGGCTTGATGATCCCTCCCCAGGGGACACTTTCCCCAGCCCACAGCCTTCAGCCACAGGCAGGAACTGGGATCTTCTTGCCAAGAGTGACCTTCACAGGCCCTCTGGTTTCAGCAGGGGCTTACCAGCCCCTTCCTTGGGGATCACATTCCCTAAATGGGAGGACAGGGGTGGCCTGTAAGGAAAAGTTGCTCTCAGGACCCTGTAGAACCAGGGGATCTGCCTGAGGTTCCAATCCCATGGTCTCACCCTCCTTCTGGGTGTCCTGGTTGCCAGGGGGACCTTCCCTAACAATGGAGCTCAGTGAGGCCTTCAGTATCTCAAGTCCCCACTTCCCCTGGTTGCTAAGGGGAAAGACTTCCTAGCAACAGGGCTTCCTGAGCCTCTGGGCAGGGGAGCCACCTTCTTAGGTGCCAGTTTACTAAGGAAAGGGATTCCCCAGCCAAAAGGTCTCCCAGAACCCCATCCCCAGGGGCCCCTGGGTGACAAGGAGGAGAGGCCCCAGACCCATAGGCCCTTCCAGACTTCTCTTTTTTGCTCAAAGTTGCTAAGGAGTCCCTTCTAAACCTAAGACCCCACCCCATCTTGCCCCTTCCACCTGGTCCCTAAAGAATTGACTCCCTCTATTGGGGTGTGGCCAGGTCAGTATGAGCCCCCTCCATACTCCCCCTCTTCGTTGCAAAGGGGACTCCCTAGCAACAGAACTCAGAATCTTGGGGGTCAGGTGGGCAGGTGGGCGGGGCCCAGCTGGTTGCTTGGGTGATGTCCTTCCAGGACTCTTCCCACAGTGGCCCCAGGGGTCTGGGGAGGCGACATGGTGGGCTTTGGGATCCCAGCTTTGGGCTTGGGCCTGCTCCTGCTGCTGCAGGGCTCAGTAGGTGAGGGAGCTGAGAAGGCAGGGAGCTGAGCAGGGGCCTCCTTGGCCTCCACACAGCTCCCAACACTGGCCCTTTTCTCTCACAGATGGGAATGGAATCCAGGGATTCTTCTATCCATGGAGTGAGCAGTGGCCTGAAATCTTGGGTCCTCCAGGGAGGCGAAGCCCAGATTAGACCCTTGGGTCTGAGGGGGGAGGGGCAGGGGCCCTGGACTCCTGGGTCTAAGAGGGGGGGTGGAGCCTGGATCCTGGTTTTGAAGGAATATGGTGCTGGGGGCCTAGACCCTGGGTTTAAAAGAAAGGAGTGCTGGGGGGTCTGGACTATGGCTCTGAGGGAGGAGGGCCTGGGGACAGGATCCCTGGGCCTGAGCAGAGAGAGATTGTGGGGACCCTTGGATGTGAGGAGGAAGGGCTGGAGGATCCTGAGTGTGAGGAGGGAGAAAGGGGAGCTCTTCCTATGTGTGAAGAGGAGGGGAAGAGGACCCATGGTCTGAGGAAAGAGGGGCTGTAGGGATCTCTGGATGTGAGGAGGAGGGGCTGGAGGACCCCTGTGTGTAAGGAAAGGGAAAGGGAACCCCTTTCTGGGAGGAGTGGGAAGGCCAGATTTCTGGAGTCTTGAGTCCTACCGGGCATAAGCACTAGGGAGGCAGCTCCTGGGCCTGGCCTTGGGACTCTGGTGTTCGATGTCTTTGAGGCCAGGCTCTGTGATGAGGCTAACTACTCGTGGTGTCCCCAGGTTGTGAGGGTGATGTGTGGGATCGGGAGAGCTGTGGCGGTCAGGCGGCAATTGAGAACCCCAACCTCTGCCTGCGCCTGCGATGCTGCTATCGGGATGGGGTCTGCTACCACCAGCGTCCAGATGGTGAGTGCTCCAATGTCTTGGAGTGCCAGGGCCTGGGTCTGGTGCCTGGGAATCCTGTGTCTTAAGGTCCCTCCTTTGTCCAGAAAATATGCGGAGGAAGCACATGTGGGCCCTCGGCTGGACGTGCGGTGGCCTCCTTTTCCTGATCTGCAGCATCTGCTTGTTCTGGCAAGTGGGGCTGGACTGGGGAGGCACCTGCCCTGAGAAGCAGGTGGGGGGGCTGGGCTGAGAGCATCCCCTCCATGCCAGGTGGGCCAAGCGCCAGGACTTGCTGCACATGCCGCGGTTCTTGGCGGGTAAATGTGATCTGTCGAGGACAGTTTCGCTGCTCTCCAAGGACCGAGCGGCGAGTGAAAAGAAGACAGCATCCGTGGCCAGCATGCCAGCTTCTCAGGCTACAGAGACCCAAGAGACTGCAGGGGGCGGTGAAGGGGAAGCAACAGAAGGGGCCGAGACGGAGGAAGAAGAAGATTAGGGGTGTCCCCTGGGGGACCCCATAATACAGATGTAGCCTATAGACATGTGGTCTCTTTTCTGAGAGCTGTGGGGAACAGAACACATAGTGCACACCTGGGGCAGGGGGTGTGGGCACACATGCCCTGGGGAATCTTAGGGACCCAGACTGAGTTGGAGGGGTGTTAGGCTATGGCCATGGAGATGTGAGCTGAGAGAGGGGTGGGGGATTAGTGGGGGAGAATTTGAGCTAAGGAGGAGCTGGACTGAGTGAAGGCTCTAGGCTGTGATTGTGGGGCCCTGGACCTATGGGATATGCTGGAGTGAGGAAGGTATAAAACCCTTCATGGAGGGAGGTCAGGGCCAGGGGTGCCTGAACTGAGTTGGGGGGAGGTGGCTTGACATGGCCTGGGAATGTGCCCTCAGTTATCTTCCTAAAGGGAGCAACCCCATCCCCCATGTGCCACCATCCCACCAATGGCTGAATGTGGTGAGTACCAGTGTAGGCCCCTTCACAAAAGACATGGGGCTCTCTCCCGCTGTGGGAGGTTCTGGCTCTCAGATACCCCTCCAGCTGCTGAAAGTCCCTGGGAAGTCCAAGACTCATCCTACCAACCCTCCTCCCGGGTGCCTTGCAGATGACAGACCTGCCCCAAGCCACCTCCATAAAGTATCCATATCCCCTAATAAATATCTTGCAAGTCTAATTTGTCCCTGTGTCCCTGCTTCTCAGAAGGCCCAGGGAGGCCTGGGTAGAGGGAGGTTGTGTTGGGTGGGTGGGTATGGGCCCAAGGACTTCACTGCCACCCCACCCCATTCCCCTTTGTGAAGGGCCAGTGGGGAGCTGCCTCCCCCATGGTGTCAGGTCCTCCAGGGCACAGGCAACATCACTTTGGGTACACCCAGGCCCACCTGAACTCTCAGGCTTAAAAAGAAGCAAGCAAACCAGATGCAGTGGCTCATGCCTGTAATCCCAGCACTTGGGAGGCTGAGGTAGGTGGATTGCCTAAGCTCAGGTTCAAGACCAGCCTGAGCCAGAGTGAGACCTCATCTCTAAAATAACTGGGCATTGTGGCAGGCGCCTATAGTCCTAGCTACTTTGGAGGCTGAGGCAAGAGAATCACTTAAGCCAAGAATTTGAGGTTGTTGTGAGCTGTGATGCCAAGGCACTCTACCAGGGGTGACAAAGTGAGACTCTGTCTCAAAGAAAAAAAGAAAAAACAAAGAAGCAAGCAACCTCCCCCTACTCCAGCACTGTCCCTCTACCAGACAGACATATAACACTGTGAGGCAGAGCCGTTTATCACAGAGAGCATAGAGGGGTAGAGGAGGGACAGGCAGTGTCCTGGTGACAGCACAGTAGGGTGTAGGGGCAGTTGCACATCTGAGTCCAGTCCTGACAGGTGAGGCCATGAGGTGGTCTGCAGAAGGGAGGGTGGAATTAAGTAACTGCTTAGCACCCACCCATCCCTGTGCTCCTGGGCCCACTGCCCCATGGCCTGGGGCAGAGGGGCAAGGAGCTTCTTCCTCTTGCCTGAGCCCCTTATGTACCATCTCACACACTTGCTCCTTTGCTCCCTCATCCTGTACCCCACTGTTTTCCACAGAGCCCCCAGTATGCTTGCATGGGTGCCTTCAACTATTATAAGAAGGAATGTGAGATAGGGGGAAGCAGAAAGTGAGAGATGCCAAAAAAAATGATGAGCACAGGGATAAAGAGAAAGAGACCTGGGGAGAGATAATACCTGGGGAGACAGAGATACACAGAAAAAGAGACTAAGAGAGGTAGGCAGAGACAGGCTACTCAACTCACATTAGTCTCAGGGGGAAGCAGCTACCAGAGCTGGAACCTATGGGTCCCTCTGCTAAAATCCAAGTTCTCAGGCTGGATGCAGTGGCTCACAACTGTAATTCCAGCACTCTGGGAGGCTGAGGGAGGAAGATTCCTTGAGCTCACAAGTTCAAAACCAGCCTGAGCAACAGAAAGACCCTGTTTCTACTAAAAATAGAAAACTACCCAGGCATTTTGGTGGGTACCTATAGTCCCAGCTACTTGGGAGGCTGAGGCAAGAAAATCGCTTCAGTCTAAGAGTCTGAGGTTGCTCTGAGATAAGATGACACCACATTACTCTACCCAGAGCAACAGAGTGAGACTCTGTCTCTAGATAAAATAAAATCTCCAAGTTCTCTGTCCTTCATGTGTTGGAAGCAATTCACTCTCCACAGGAAGGAATCCCAAATTCAAACAGGCCCATTTTCCCTGTAAAAGGGGCTGCACTTGAGTCAACTTGGTCTCAGTGGCTGGAGAACAGTTCCAGGAGTAGACGCCCATCCGCCCAGGGTAATTACTACAAGGGTAATTTTAGGCACAGGTGGTTGTTTTTGCATTATATGTCAAAATTTGCATTAGCTCATGCTTCACCTGTGTATACAGTTGTTCATCCTTTCTTAAACCAGTTTCTTCATCTGAACTACAGAACATATTACATGATCAGGGTGACTTATTTTCTCAATTCTCACAAAGAAGAACATAGTAGCATTCTGGATGCATAGAGCAAAAAGCTAATGCAGAACATGCAAAGAATGTCTTAGGACAGTGGGTTTAATTCTAAGAAATCCCTATTTGGGAAACTGATTCAGTTACCCATTCATCCATGCACTCATCAGCAATCCCATTTATCCATTCATCCATCTACCTATCTGCCCAAATCATCTAACCACCCATTCACCCATCTACACAACAAGCAATCCAACCACATACATCCATCAACTGATCCATTCACCAATCTACCACCCACCAATTCATCCACTCATCTACAACCACCCATTGCTCAACTCATCCATCCACTCATCTGTTCATCCATCCTTCCACCCACCTACTCAACCATCAGCCTTTCCTGAGTTCATATTTTTTGCAGGGCAATGCTAAGAACAAAGATACCAGAGACTCAGGTCTTAGGACACTCTCTGTCAGGTAGGAGATACCAACACAGACACAGCACATGGTCCTACAAGCAGCAGTCAGGGGGGTGGCGCCTGTGGCTCAAAGGAGTAGGGTGCTGGACCCATATACCAGAGGTGGTGGGTTCAAACCTGGCCCTACTCAAAAACTGCAAAAATAAAACAAAATAAAATAGAGTAACAGATAATATGAAGGCCTGGAGAAGGGCAGAGAAATTGAGTTGGATACTTTTTCCCCCTTTCCTTCCTTCCTTTTTTTTTTTTTTTTTTGAGGCAGAGCCTCAAGCTTTCACCCTGGGTAGAGTGCTATGGCATCACAGCTCACAGTGACCTCCAACTCATGGGCTCAAGCGAGTCTCCTGCCTCAGCCTGC